CGTTCGGTTTGGGAAGGCTTTTCCCAAGTGAGCACTTGCTTCAAGCCTTTCTGCAGTTCATCTGTTCTCATCCACGGAACCCCTTCGTGGTTCCATTATTTCGAATTTATTTTACTGTGCGTCGGGGGTCAACATGTACATATGCATATTGAATGCAGAAAAGCGACAAAATAATCACGAAACAGTAAGGTGCTCCCTGCGCGCCATAGCAACGCTGGGCTCAGGCAACAACGGTAGGTGGGATAATGCGGTCGAAACAAAGAGAGAGGTGCCTGTATTATATACAGAGCGAGTAGTACTTCGATGCATTTATGAAACTTATATGTTTTCTGCTCGTTGTAGGGCTAATGAGTTATTTTTGTATGTATTTTTGGTATGGCTTCAAGTTTAGATCTTGAAGTTATGGCTTTACGTTTTCTTTTGGTTTATGTTGGTGCAATAGCTGTGATGGTATTGTTTGTAGTAGCGCTGCTTGATGTTAAAAGCTATTAAAAACCTTTGGTCAGCAAAAAAAAAGTTACTTTAACCACCTAATACTAAGACGATTAAAGCACACTTCGTTTAAGGAGCAGGAAAAAAAACACTATTTTCCAAAAAAACAGAAAAAAAATCCCCAAGCCTTAGACTATTCAGTATAATGCTGAAATAACAATACGGGAACGACAGCCCCATGCTTCGCACGGCACATCCATACAACAGGCAAAATACAAAAATAGCTAGTCTACACATGAATAAAACAAAATTAACCCCTTTGGGTCTAGGATAATACTCGCCAGCCGGACGAGCGGTCCGAAGGCCGCATGTTAACGTTCGAAACATCTTTTTTTTTCACAATAAACAAAAAAAAATGCGGCGGGAGACAGTTGTTGTTGTTGTTTGTTGTTGTTTTTCTTCACATTGAACTCGTGTCAGTTGCTTATCCCAAAATTAAATGTAGCAAAGACTCGGTCCGTGGTCACCAAAATGCTAGAGCCGTCAGAAGATCTAAAGAACACACACACACTATTAGCAAG